CTCAAGCCTGTAATCCCAGCACTTTGGGAGGCCAAGGTGAGAGGATTGCCTGAGCTCAGGTGTTCGAGATCAGCCTGGGCAACTTGGCAAGACCTCGTCTCTACAATAAATAAAACAATTAGCTGGACATGGTAGCACGTATTTGTAGTTCCAAGCTACTTAGAAGGCTGAGGCGGAAGGATCAATCGCCTGAGCCCTGCAGGTCGAGGCTGCAGTGGCCATGAGCGTGCCACTGCACTCCAGCCTGGGCAACAGAGTGAGACTTCAACTCAAAAATTTAAAAAATATAATAAGACTGGATTGTATCTGGGGAGAAGGGAAGGACCAGCAGCATAGTAGACATGACTTCCGTGGGGCTAACGTGTTGGTCCCCCTCTCCCCATTTTCAGGTGGTGTGTAAGAAGTACCGAGGATTCACCATCCCTGAGGCCTTCCGGGGAGTGCATCGGTACTTGAGAAATGCCTATGCTAGGGAAGAATTCGCCTCCACCTGTCCAGATGATGAGGAGATCGAGCTGGCCTATGAGCAAGTGGCCAAGGCCCTCAAATAATCCCCTTCTGGGGCTTCCTCAACCCCCTCCATTTTCTCCACAAAGGCCCTGGTGGTTTCCACATTGCTACCCAATGGACACACTCCAAAATAACCAGTGGGCAGGGAATCCTGGAGCACTCATGTGCAGGGCTGGAGGAGGGAAGGAGAGATGAGGGAAAGAGATGGGGGACCTGGGATTTTTTACTGTGGGGCACGTGGGTAGGACAGCGTTATTTCAGTAATAAAATACAGCATAAAAATCTAGTGTTTTTACACAAAGAGGGCTTGAAGTGCGGGTGACACGAAAGGAGTGGGTCCGTGATTTTAGGCATAAGTCAGGAATTAAGAAGGGGGATTTTTGTGGTGGGGCTGCCATTTTTCGTGCTGTCCCATAGTCCATGCCGCATTTGCAGACCCGCCGTCAGGGCTAGCCGGATCTGGGTGGGCCTGGGCAACACGCGCGGGGCGGTGCCGAGTTCTGGTAAGGGGGGGGCACAGTCAGGGTGGAATGGGAGCGGCCTAGCAGGGCGGAATGGGCGTGGTCTGGAGAATCCCCGCCCCGTCCCGCTTAGACAATGCCCCGAAGCCGCCGGACCGTCGCGCCCCCGACCCTTCGTAGCATATGAGCTCGCCTACCCAAGGACCCCCCCTAAGAGCCAGAGCTCCCAATCCCTGAGGCTTAAAGACTGGGACTCTTCCCCACCAACTCTGTACTCGGGGGTGGGGCCCTAGCCGAGATCACAGCTCAGCCAGGAGTGGGGGCGGCCGCTGGAGGTGAGTCGGGGCGGGTGTCCCCTGGACCATATGGAGGCCGGAGTTTGGGGGATGGCGGGTCCATTCCTGCACAGACGGAGAGTGTGGGAGTCGGCATTTGAGCGCGGAGCTAGGCGGGCTGGACTTTGGAGGAAGACGGACAGGGGACCGGACCGGTCCTGGAGCCGGGAGTGGCGTCCGTGCCCCGGAACCACGCCCCCTGTTTCCCCGCCCCTCGCATTTCGATTTAGACCTCTCCCAGTCCTCCGGGACTCGATCTGGTTTATACTGGGTCGCGCTTGGGGCAGCGTGACAGTCCGGGGTGGAAAGAGGATATTTAACTCCTTAGGCTCTCATTCCTCCCCTCCTGCCCCTCTCCCTCCTCCGTTCGGGCATCCAGGACTTCAATGCCCCAAGCGTTGACCCTTTCCCTAGGTTTTTCCTCCTGTCCCATAAAACCCCTGTGGGTCCCGGGCCAGACTTCAGGACCCTACAACAGCGAGCAGCTGAGGGTTAAGGGGGCGGGGACGGTGCATTTTTGGGGAGTGAGCGCATCCTAGCGGTTGCCAAGAGGGACGCCCGGCAGGGACCTCACGAAGCCCCCGAGCAGAGGCAACAGGTGTTTTGGAGATTAGGGATCCCAGCCTTGTTCCTCGGACTCCTAAAAAAGCCGACCCGCGAGGGTGCGGGTAGAGTGGGGTCAACAGGAGAGGAAGGTCTGGAGGGGGTAGGGCAGAGTGGGAGGGGCGCTCAGAGACACAGGAGAAAGACCTGGCGCTCTTAACCACCCCCCGCGCCCTTCTCTGCGTATCTCTTTCTCTGTCTCTCCCTTTTTCCTCCTTCCAGACAGGTGAAGTAAAAAGAGAAAACTGAGAAATCAGCGCGGCCAGAGGGGGCGTCTGTGTGGATGGGATGGGGACGCCGGGGGAGGGGCTGGGCCGCTGCTCCCATGCCCTGATCCGGGGAGTCCCAGAGAGCCTAGCGTCTGGCGAAGGTGGGGGGGCTGGTCTTCCAGCTCTGGACCTGGCTAAAGCTCAAAGGGAACATGGGGTGCTGGGGGGTAAGTTGAGGCAGCGATTAGGACTGCAGCTCCTAGAACTGCCTCCTGAGGAGTCGCTGCCGCTGGGACCGCTGCTCGGTGACACAGCCGTGATCCAAGGGGACACGGCCCTAATCACGCGGCCCTGGAGCCCAGCTCGCAGACCAGAGGTGAGCACGGGTGTTGTAGGAGGAAGGGCAGGAGAAGCTGGAAGACCGGGGCTTTGGGGGAGAATTGGGGCAGGGGTTTCTCAGCCTCGTGCCCTCTTCTTTTGCTCTAAGGTCGATGGAGTCCGCAAAGCCCTCCAGGACCTGGGGCTCCGAATTGTGGAGATGGGAGACGAGAACGCGACGCTGGATGGCACTGATGTTCTCTTCACTGGTGAGGTTGGGGGCCGGCACCCCTGGGTCTTGGCACAGGGAAGCAGAGTGTGGGAGACTGGACCGTCTCGGGCTTTGTTTCCAACTCACTCCTGTTCTCAAACCTCCGCGGTCTCCCGGTCTCAGGCCGGGAGTTTTTTGTAGGCCTCTCCAAGTGGACCAATCACCGAGGAGCTGAGATCGTGGCGGACACGTTCCGGGTGAAAAGCGGGATCAGCCTCGGGAGGAAGCAGGGCGCAGATGGGGGTTGAAAGGGCCTGGGAGCCCGCTGAGGAGGGAGAGGCTGAGAGCAGCCTTTGTTTGAAGGTATTCCCCTCGTGCCTCCCGTGCCCCTAAATGCCTCTTCTTGCTCTCCCTAGGACTTCGCCGTCTCCACTGTGCCAGTCTCGGGCCCCTCCCATCTGCGCGGCCTCTGTGGCATGGGGGGACCCCGCACTGTCGTGGCAGGCAGCAGCGACGCTGCCCAAAAGGCTGTCAGGGTGAGGGGCACGGGCCGCGACTGGACCAAATACAGTGGGCGTGGCTCCGGGCCGGGAGGCGGGGAGCTGGGGAATTAGTCCAACCCCTGCCCTCACTGAGCTGTCCATCTAGTATGAAAGAACAAGTGAGTAAACAAGATGTTACAGCAATGGGACAGGAGATGGGACAGGAACAGGGTAATTAACTTGCTCTTCCGGAGTTTCAGGAAACTCCCCAAAGTGACATAGAAGTTGTGACTCTAAGGATGGATGGAGGGGGGGGTTGGGGAAGGAGAGAAGAGAGTTGAAGGTTAAAAGAACTACGTGTGAGTCCAAGGTAGAAATTAGCAAAGGTAACTAAAGTGCTTAGAATAGTGTTGGACACACAGTAAGCGCTATATGCTTGCTATCATTATTATTCCACCAGTGCAACTCTGTCCCCCGCCCTTAGTGGTGGTAAGGCAGGCAGACTCAATTGTGGACAAGCTCTGAGACTTGAACACTATTTCCTCTTCCTTAGGCAATGGCAGTGCTGACAGATCACCCATATGCCTCCCTGACCCTCCCAGATGACGCAGCTGCTGACTGTCTGTTTCTTCGCCCTGGGTTGCCTGGTGTGCCCCCTTTCCTCCTGCACCGTGGAGGTGGGGACTTGCCCAACAGCCAGGAGGTGAGGGAGGACAGGAGCTCCACCAACAACAACTAGAGAAAGGAGTCTCGGATTTTCCTAGTGGGAGGAATGAAGCTTGGGGCCACTCTGAGCTGGCTAGAAGGGGATCCTAGCTCTAGCCTCGAGGTCTTATTCTTCTCTCCCCACTCCATGTCTTCCATGCAGGCATTGCAGAAGCTCTCTGATGTCACCCTGGTACCTGTGTCCTGCTCAGAACTGGAGAAGGCTGGCGCTGGGCTCAGCTCCCTCTGCTTGGTGCTCAGCACACGCCCCCACAGCTGAGGACCTGACCTTAGGGTCCGGTTGGCCAGAGGTAGAGCAGCATAGGAAGTTAGAAGGGAAAGGAGGGGTAGACAGAGGCTGGTGAGTAGGCAGTAGTGGGCAGAGGGCCTCAAAATGGAGGGCGGGCAGAGTGTGGGGAAAAGGACAGGGGCCACTGTGCAAGTCCTTTCTCTCAGAACCAATAAAATAGAACTGACCTTTTAGATTGGGCTGTGGCTGGTGTCTTGCTGGGGCAGAGGGATGGGACAGGGCTGAAACCTGAGGTTGAGGTCAATGCCAGAAAGGAGGCCTCTGTCATTTCATTGCTCAATCATGTCATAGGTGCTTGGGCACAAGATGGACAAGACATAATTTCTATTGTGGGAAATGTGTCCAGGACAGAGAAGAGCATGTGAGTGGATCCCTTGCTGAGTTTATCTAAATTTCAGAGAATTTAGAGTTATATATATATATATATATATATATATATTTTTTTTTTTT